GAAACGGTTTGATAAATCGGTAATTACCTATCGATTAAGTAAATTGGATAAATTTTTTATGAGTGGAAAGTATTTTCTGGACTCGAGGGTTGATGGCAGGGGATTTTGTTATTATTTAATGGATTTAGGGGATTAAATACATTTTGATGGGCTCGTTGGTGTTTGATTATGCTCGTGGAGATTTAAAAAATTGATAAACATGATAATTAATAACGCGATTTTCGAGGAATTGAATTGGCTGGGACCAGCGGTCAACGACCAGACACCACGTGTGGAACCGGTTTTAATGTGGTAGCGATTTATTTAATCTGAACTTCTGTGTGTCTGTCCTAGTCCTATTTATCTGAGAAGATCGGCGGAAGATCGGTGGAATATTGGCGCAACGATATCGCGATATTTAGAAATTTTTTAAAGCCCCATATGTAAATTTTTTCAGCGTTTCAGTGAGTTTTTTCAATATCTCCGAAACTAATGGAGATAGCGATGTTTGTGTATAAACCATTTTTGCAGCTCTCAATTAGCCCTATAAAAAAGATGATAACAAAATTTTCGTTATCTCTCTTATTTTTCGTGATTTTTACAAAAAACTGGAGAATACTCCGAGTACGTATATTTCTCATGTGTTTATTTAACAAATTGTAACTCAGAAAATACGAGAAATACGTAAATTTTTATAATAACCTTTTTTGTAGAGCTAGTTGAGAACTGAAAATTCGGTAATTACAAAATTTCGGTACGTCCCTTACTTTCGGAGATATTCTCGAAAGATAATGAGAGATTTATTTATGGATTTATTTATGGAATGAATCCCTCAAGTGAATAACTTCTGTTTTTATTATCAACGAAAATCGCGTGTCTCTGATGATGAAAATACGAGCGACGAGTGATCAAAGAATCGCGAAAACGAGAATAACTTCAAGTACCACTTGCACACGCATTATTATTCTCACTTGAATTTTTCATACCGACATGACTCCTTTCAAGGCTCATGTTTACGTGAATAACAATCTCCCGGATCATAACATAATGCAATGAAAAATATATTAATGAACGTCGAGGTCGACCGACAAATCCGCCATGAATACAAATTTAAACAGGTGTCTATTCTCTAATTAATTAGAAAATACACGCCTGAAAAAATTTGGAGTAAATCCACCAAAAATTGAATTGATCCATGAAAATAAAAAATTCAGAGGCCACAGATTATCAAAAAATAAATAAATTCACAACTATCAATTCGTCTTGACGACGCAAATTCTACGTCCGTCGAAAAGACGTCAGAGAATTTCTTGGAACTACATTGCATTATCTCCTCTCTAATTTTTATCGTTTCAATTTAATGAATCAGTATGAAATATTCATGTAATTGCAGGACATTTCAATTTCACCTTTTATTTAAAACATTTTATTATTCCCTCTGCATATAAAATAATAAAAGATCGCCGGGATTTTTTATTTGAAAAAAATAAGAGCAGAAGAATAAAAATCTCTTGGATTTCAAAGATAGAAGATAATTGGGTAATTTTT